CAAAAAAAGACCACCAAAGGTGACAATTTCCCCTATATGATAGTTATATATATATCTCGATTCCTAGACGTGACCCAGCGAAACGCCGGGACACGTATAACTTCTTTTTTACCGATATAACTTTCCCCGGTAGTTTGAACCCTTCCCGATCTCTGACCCCTACCATTTGTCTCACAGTGTTATAGATTGTACTCAAAGTTCCTAAATATACAAAAGTCTAGACATCAACCTCGACGGTACGCTACAGCGGTAGTGGACGACAAGCTATTTCTCTAAATGAAATTAATTGGTGATCGTATGTATGTACATATGTACATATATACATACGAGCACAAAATATTTTGCTTGCATATGCACAAAATAAACCACGCAAATATATTTGCGCAAATACTAACTTTTACAAATAGGAATCGAATAAGAATCTTTGTTTCTACTAATCTGTATCTGCGCAAATATATGTGTGGTGTATTTTTCGCAAGTCTTCTCTTCTCTTTTCATTGCTCGTAAAATTTAATATCTGTTGCAAAATTTTATACAGACAAGACTAAAAAGTAGAAAATAAATAAAATAAAAAACTTTTTAATATACAACGCTTTTATAAATGGAGTAAAAAGTAGAAAATAATATTTCTCAGTCCCATAGAAATTGTTTTGATAACTTTTGATTTTGAAATTTTAGCAAAAGTCATTATAAACATTTTATGAGATTGGAAATGAAAAGCGTGGGACGAATGTAATAGACTTGAATTGATATGAAAAGTAATATACATATGTATTTATGTATGTATGTCACATTCTATGGGACTGAAAACGAAAAACGTGGAGTGGATGCAATACAAAGCATTAGATTTAATTGACAATAGTCAAACTATTTAACATAGACCTAAAATTTCTACAGAGCAAGTACAAATTTGAGATCGATTTTAAGCGGTCATTATTCATACACCCACATACATACATATATTACTTTTCATATCAATTCAAGTCCATTACATGCGTCCCACGCTTTTCATTTGCAATCTCATAAATTGTTTATAATGACTTGTTTATTTATATTGTTTTTATTTTATTTTATTTATAATGTTTCCGACTTGACCGATGTCTTAGAATTTTACCAAATTACGTGTTTTTCTGACCGTGATCTAATTTTTTGTTGCTTGGACATTAATGTTGAGCGAAGTTGTGACGATCGGCCTTTTTCGTATAGGGACTTCGAGCAAAAGTCGGTCCTTTTTAATTCTTCTTTTACAAAATTCTGATATCGAAGGTTCCATATTTTGAAATTCTGTTTCACAAAATTCTACTTTTCGCACTTTCGTCTGAAAATTCTGCTTTTGTGGTAGACAAAATTTCCCATATTCGCCTTTAGCTTAAATCTATATTTAGGAAATACATACGGGCGTTTCCACGCAGCCGTACGCGACATTCGTACGCTTATGGAGTACCATAAATCTCAAAAATAGAAGTTACTGAAAAACAAGACTACGGTTATGTTGAAACCCAAGGGTACTATGTTTAAGAAAAATATAAGCAGCCTCGAAACTTTGGTGTGGAAAATATCCGTTCAAAACAAGGTGATAACGTATGCGTACGTACTAAGCTAAATAATGTACCTTTGAAATCCATCCATTTTTTCATAGAAATTATCTGGTTAGTTTTTATTAAAAAAAACATAATAACGTACGCGACATAACGTACGCCACAGATTTTTCCCCTATACAATATTTTTACCAGTAACACATACTAAATTCAATTTTTAATTTAATTGTTTCAGTTCATCTCCACCGTTTCCCGTTTTCAAAACTTTTTCTGCAATCTGAATACGAAATTTAAAGTTATAAAGCCGCTTAAATTCATTTGCTTGCATTTTCGGTTTAAATTTTCATGAAAAGACCCATATGTATGTTCTAAGCGACTTAAAAATCTGTTATACGTAGCGAAAAATATTAATACAGCATGTCCCACTTTTCTCATTAGTCAATCTTATCCCCACTAAGTTCCATTTATTAGATAATAAAAAATCGCAATCATAATAAAATGACATCCAGATACACCATTATTCTGAAAAGTATACGCTTGGAATATACTTTAACTACACGTATGCATGTATGTAATTTATCTGTACATACATATCGAGGGCTTGTATTCAATACCGGCACTTTTCACAAAAATGAGATTCTGATATAAGAATCTACCTAATAATTAACTGTCATCGGTGATGTTAATGCTGACCTTGTATAACGCTTGACATACGAATTTACTATTACATTGCAAAGTCAGAACTAACATCAGTGATGATAGGTTGATAGGTACGTCCCAGATGGGTTCTAACATCACAAAGTAGTTTTTGTGAAAATTGCAGATAGAGGGTATTGAATATAAGCCCTCGATATACATTACCACCATAATTCATATATTTGTGCATATTCCTACATTCCTTCCAACTGAAAAGCATTTGCTTGCATTACTTACATAAAGGGTGAACACGCCAAAACTGCGACACTTGGAGATTACTACCAGAAACAAACTAGAAGGCTTTGAAATTATTTTTTTTTGTATTATATAACTTGGATAAACTCATCAGCCCGCGCAAGAACGGAATTATAACCAAGTAATTAAAGTGTATTAAAAGCTGGCGACATTCGGGGTGTCGATACTCACCCCTCAGTGGAAAGTGGAAAGTGAAATCGACTGCGTCCAAGCAAATATAAGGAAAAAGGCTGACTGTAAAAAGCCTTTTTTTCTGGTATCTAGTTAATAGAGGCAAAAGGTGCCGTCACATTCCTTCCGGCAAATCCCCAGCCATGTTGCGTAGAATAAAGAAGTTGTGAGCATCAAATCTGGACTATTCATTTGACAGCAATTGAGTCACCATAAGCCGATAATACAAAATCATTACACGTAAGTCAGCCACTTTCTTGCCACCCTCCATTGGAAACGAGCTATCCATCAACCGTAAATAAAGATTCCTGTTTGGACCGACAAACGAAGGTCA